ACTAGTAGTAAGGCCAGGAGCTACTGGTAGCGTCCTTGCTCCTAGTAACGATGCCCTTTGTTACTGGTAGCTTCTTGTTGCTAGTTCATCTAGAACCTAGACCAAGCTTGTTCACTTCTTGCAGCCTGGTGCGTCTAGTTCTGGCGGCCTCCGACGAAAGAACCATCATCACACAGCGGTAAATGATTTGCATCTCGATGCGGAGGGGACTGAGGGCCAAAACGGGAGTGCCAAGTAAAATATTCGATTGTCTGCGAGCCTGGGCGACAAAGCAAAGGCGACTTGGTTAAAACCGACGGGACTGCCTGAGCCCCTTCCTCTCTCTCTCTCTCCCTCTCTCCCTCCCAAACCCACTAACAACTTGCACGCCTCCTACCCTTGGCTCAAACTCCTATATGACCACTTCTAGACCTTGGTCTGGAGAACTTCAGCTCCAAACAACACAGAGAGCGAGCAAATGACGTACATTTTGATTTTTGGCTTTGCAGTCACTTGCAGCCACTTGCTCAGGCAGCCACTTGGCAGTACTTTGAGTTCTTTATGTAAAAACTGTAAGATTTCTTCGTCGCTAGCTCTGCAGAAGTTTAGAATGTATTCTTGGAAAAGTCTTGGATTATTTCATGATTTCTCCGCGCGCAGCTCGGGAGAAAACCAGAATTTCTTCGCAGAACAGCATTGCAGAAATCTTGCAGGTTTTCTTCAGAACTGCGTGCGGAGAAATCATTATATTCTCCGGACAGACGTACCAGTCACTTGCAGCCACTTGGCAGCCACTCAAGTGGCTGCAACATGGAAAATCAAAATGCGCACCTCCTGCGAGCTCAGTGAAACCATTCTGTAACCCTGCCCCATCTCGATGAAAAACAAGAACGACTGCCAAACGAAAAACAACATGTGACGGCATCGCCGATTCATCGCGATCCCATTTGAAGGGGGGGAAGATTGGAAGTAAGGAGGTATCTGTTTGGCCGCCTACAGCATCCGCAGTCTTGATATTTCTTATATCTTCTACTCTTGGAAGGCAAGATCGAAGTCACCAAGAGTCATAACATTCTGACACACCCCTTATACCTTCGATCGTCAGAATGTGCAGCAAAACACCGCTCCAGATCAAAGAGCCTAGCGGCCTACCCCGACGCTTCAGCCTCGACGTCGAACCTGGTCACGCGACGTCAAAACACAGGGCCCACTGATCAGGGCTGAGGGACCCCTTGGCGTTGGAGCGCAAGTGCTGGTGCAAGGTTCGCACCGTTGTCACATCCTTGAAATTCACCTTAGTAAATCTGCAAACTTGGAGCACAAATCATTCATGCCTGGACAAGTGCACCATTCTTGAAAGTTCTTGAACACCTAGAACACCTTCCGCAAGGCTTTCGGAATTGTGTGCTCGTACCAAGGATTGACATGTCTGCTTCCCTCAACCAACCCAGACTTTGGATCCTGGCGGGTACGAACTGCAAGTTTTCGGCGAATTCCTGGTGCGCGGATCGTTTCAAGGGGTCGTCGTTCCGGGAGACGGGAGAAAACGAACACGTCTCCAATGAACACGTCTGCGCGCGGAGACAGTCCCGGAGGTCGCTGGGCTTGCTACACTCCTTTTCCAGGTAAGGCTTCAAACGGTTCTGGAGCCTCGGATGTGAGGCTTGCGCCGTTGAAGCAATAGGCACTAGGGCGCCCTACACCTGGGCCCAGGGTGAATGATTCATCCTGTGGGATTCTTGACTTCTCTTTGTAGCGGAGAACGACCCCGTTCACCGTCTTCAAACGGAAACTGAGCACCGTCGCAAGGTCTGTGCATCTGAGATGTGGCTGTGGTAGCCAGGATC